GATTCACTGTATTTTAAAAAAGGCAGAATGATGCGGAAGTCACGGACACAACATGTACGACCAATGTGATCAAGTTAATGCCACTTTATTAAGGGATACACAGCAATTTATACACTAGCACAAGGCACACACGCTATGTCCTGATTGCTAACAGGTTAATGCTGCTTGTCCATTCACTTTCTGCCTTCTTATGATTGGTCCCGGTGTGGTGTCCACCCGCCTTGCTCTGTTTTCTTGTCTTTGCAGTCCAACTTGCTTATCTCTTGGCAAGGTATGCAGTTTCTTAATCTCCCTGCCCTTGCCTATGTCTGTAACAACAGCTGCAGTCTGTTGTTACAGTGAGGCCCCTTGGTCTGGATCACTCATAATATGTCTATTTTCTTTCAGCCACTCCACAGCAGAATACAGGAATAGGTAGGTATTTTATATATACATCTTCCTTTACTATACTCACGGTGCAATCCTGATCTTCAGTGAGAATGCACATACCTACAATAACTTACTGCAATAAATAAGAAGTTAACTGTATTTTTAGTATTTCAAGTACTAATTAAACTGCCTGGAAAAGTTCTATTATGCTTGTCTTTGAAAAATAACATACTCACATTTATTTCACCAAAACAGAAGTAAATGCCTACCATATAAAACACTACTAAGACTTCCTGCGGGGCTATAAGCACCTCATTACTTCGTTGAATTATTTTGCTTCCAAACTTCCCAACATTTTCAGGCTTAATACCATGATTTTTGATACCATCTGTATTTTCTCCTCATACCAGCTGTATGAATTGCAAATGTGTGATACATGATTACCCACCTCATTAACTATGTTCACAAACAATGACCTAACTGGACATAACCAAGACCAACAAAAAAAACCCCACCAAAACCAAAAAAAACCCAGATAAAATGGCAGTTTGCATAGTTGATTTTTCTCAAACACATTAACTTTGGAAACTTTGTAGAAACTTCATAGGGGAAGATTATTTCTTTCTACTTCTAAGCAATTTTCATCATCCAGATGCAACGACAGGTTATATCTAAAACCTGAACTAAAAGTACTCCCATAGGCTTTCTCCTGAAGAAACTGGCTGCACATGGCCTGGATGGGCAAACTCTTCACTGGGTAAAAAAACCTGGCTGGATGGCTGGACCTGAAGAGTTGTGGTGAATGGAGTTAAATCCAGTTGCTGGCTGGTCACAAGTGGTGTTCCCCAAGGCTCAGTACTGGGGTCAATTCTGCTCAATATATTTATCAATGATCTGGACAAGGGGATCGAGTGCACCCTCAGTAAGTTTGGAGATAACACCAAGTTGGGCAGGAGTGTTGGTCTGCCTGAGGGTAGGAAGGCTCCATGGAGGGAGCTGGACAGGCTGGATTGATGGGCTGAGGCCAACTGTGTGAAGTACTACAAGGCCAAGTGCCAGATCCTGCACTTGGGTCACAACAAGACCATGCAATGAGTGGCTAGAAAGCTGCCTGGCAGAAAAGGTGTTGTTTGACAGCCGGCTGAACATGAGCCAGCAGCGTGCCCAGGTGGCCAAGAAAGCCAACAGCATCCTGGCCTGTATCAGAAATAGTATGGCCAGCAGGAGTAGGGAAGGGATTGTGCCCCTGTGCTCAGCACTGGTGAGGCCGCACCTCAGATACCATGTGCAGTTTTGGGCCCCTCACTACATGACAGATATGGAGTTGCTGGACCGAATCCAAAGAAGGACAGCAAAGCTGGTGAAGGGTCTGGAGAACAGGTCTTATGAGAAGCAGCTGAGGGAACTGGATCTGTTTAGCCTGGAGAAGAGGAGGCTGAGGGGAGACCTTATCATTCTCTGCAACTACCTGAAAGGAGGTTGTAGTGAGGTGGGTATCTTGTCTCTCCTCCCAAATAACAAGCAATTGGACAAGAGGAAACAGCCTCAACTTGTGCCAGGGGAGGTTTAGATTGGATATTAGGAAAAATGTCTTCACTGAAAGGGTTATCAAGCACTGGAAGAAGCTGCCGAGGAAAGTGGTTGAGTCACCACCCCTGGATGTACTTAAGACATGTAGCCATGGTGCTTAGGGACATGGTTTAGTGCTGAGCTTGGCAGTGCCAGGTTAAAGGTTGGACTTGATGATCCTAAGGGTCTTTTCCAACCTAAATTATTCTATGATTCTACTTCCTTCTGGCATCTGTAAAGAACTCACTACAGCTAAGAGTTAGGACACACAGCGTCAGCTATGGCATTGAAGAGACAATATATCTTTTATAAAAAGTGCTACCTCAGATACTCAGAGGAGCTCTCTGCAGAACAGCCGTGCGGAAGGTAACTCAGCTAACAGCGCAGTTGGATTTTCACATAGTCCTCAAGAAGGGGTCTTACAGGAAGGAAGGTACCATAATGATAAAGGCATGGAGGAAGAGACACCACCCTGGACAGCGGACTCTAAATCCACCATTGCTGTACAGGAAACAGGTTGTTACAGTAGGCAGGAATATATTATGGCCATTTTCAGGAAGCAGTGATATAATAAGATGACAGATTATCAATAATTATGAAACTAATAGATGACATAAAACCAGATAGAATTATGCCACTATAAGCATACGCTGAATCTGTGCTTCCTCAACTCAAAAGCACTACAACAGAAAGGCACTGAAAGGAGAAACAGTAAGAACTGTAGAACCATATGTATACAAGAAACAATTAAACCGGGACTCTTACCCAGGGTGGGGAAGAAGGAAGGATAGTAGAGGAGAGGCACAGAAGAGATCTGTAAAACGAAGACTGGCTGTCAAGAAGGTAAGAAATGACGGCTCACCTCTCTAACACTAGCAAGTATTGAGTTATCAGTCCAAAACAAGAGTTTTGCATAATCAAGCATTACTACAGAACACTGTAGAAGCCAAATGCCTATGTGGGTTCAAAAACCAACCAGATAAAGCTGTAGGAAAACAGGGTGACAAGGGAGACACTGATAACACCATTTGCCTCAGCTGGCCCTAAACTGCGAGACTGCTGACAGCTAGGGGGTCATACTGAAGGAGTTATCACTGCATGTTTGTCCTGTTCTTACTTTCTTCTCAGGCATCTGCAAACGGACCACTGTCAGACATGAGTCTTTGGTCTGACTTACTGGAGTCATTCTCCAATTACATTAGAAGCCAGACCTGCAGAGTCAACACAACATGATTAGGGAAGCTGCTGGTTCTTTAAGTTTTGTTGAAGGAAGAAGTTTTCTTGCTCACCAGTGTGCTTTTAACTACTCTCATAAACCCCAGACTATCCATACTCTGACATTTACAATAAAGTTTTTGATTACTGCTTCACTGACAAGAACTGAAAATGAGCCAAATCATGGTATAAGACTTAGAGAGACAGCTACCAACTGAAGAGAATTCATACTATAAATCGCTTTTTAAAAGTCAACCAAAATAAAGATTGCTTACTGCCTTTACTTGAGACAAACATCTCAGTGTGTGTCAAGCTTTTATATAAGGTGATCATGCACAACAGTGACTCGCATATTCAGCACAATGCACTGTACAGGTCTCGATTATCAAGATGCTTAGAAGACCCATTTCAGCTGAAGGCACTACTACACAGCTTTTCTAAAAAGTACTTCTGGAATATACAGCTTCAGATGTCTATTGATGTTACACATGTTTGATGGTCACTCAGTGCCAGTACTTTTTTTTAAATATAAATGCTACTAAGTACTGAAATTTAAATCTTTAATTTGCTCATAATCTCAAACTACTCAAATACTGGGACAAAAGTATGTTTTCAAACTATTTTCAAATAGTTCAAACATAAAAAGGCCAGAAACAGGAGAAATTAAAAAAGCTTTCCAACCTTTAAAGTTGCTGTAATTTTAAGTTCTACACACCACTAAAATTTAAATCAAAGTAAAACTCTGAAGCCTAGCACTGTTTGTAGCTACAAATGGAGACTATTCAGAAATCAATATTCTGCATAGCACAATATGCCTCCAGTTCCTTTACACTGCTCCAATACAAAACTAACCAGCCAAAAAAAAAACCCTCTGCAACAAAATAAATTTAAATTCTGTAGCACTCTATTGCAGTAGTTCTACAATGTCCTGAAATACGCTTCCAATGAATTTAGTTAGTAACTTGTCATAAACTATACTTTGTATTCCTAAACTTTCTTTCAAAGTTTTATTTCAAACTCTTGAATACAAAAGTAGACAAGTAAAGAAGAGGAAGTTTAATGTTTTGACAGACAATTTCAGATAGTTGGGGATGTGGGAACAAGATGCAAGATAATTCACACAAATTTTGGAAAAGGACATTTAAATTAGAAGCTTCTGTCAGAAATAGCCAGTGATATAACAGCAATGTTAATGCTTTTATATCACTATCTCTTTTCAAGGACAACAGCAAAATGAGCTGACCAACATAGTCTGCTTGTACCTCCCAAGACAACTGTTTCATACTCAGGCACACGTAGATCTATTAATTTGAAACTCATTCAAGCAAACATTTCACACAAGAATAACAAGACTTTTTTTTTCATCCCATCAAAATTTTAGGCTACTAAAAGCTGTAGTCCAGTTATCTATCAGGAGGTGGACCACAGGCTTCAGCAGACATAAGGCCCTAGTTAAAGTGATCTGCAAATAAAACCTTCAATGTTTAACACAAGTTAAAGGTAACACTTATGTTCCAATGTAATTTTTAGCTGACTGTCTTGGGCAGCAGTAAGCACGTACATAGCACGGGAGCAGCAAGGAACTATACAGCATGAAACTAACTACTGAAAAGATATTTCTGGAACCTTTAAAAAAATCCCAGCCACCACCCAGAAATCAGTGATTGCAAGACAAATGAATATTTACAAGTTAATATAGAATTATTTAAATTCCAACAACAGCTATAAGATGCCTATCAATCCATTATAATTAGATCAGAAAGCTTCCAAGATGTTCCGCTTAAGCAGCTGTGGGGGGTGTCTTTTACTTTTTGGTCTTAAGAAAAAGAAAGTTATGTTTCACTTACCAGTTCCTATATAGGGTTTAAAGCGTCCCGATAGTCTGTCAACAAAGGCACCTAAAACATCTAATCCCAGCAATGCTACCTGTTGAAACAAAAGCATTAGATAGACAAAACACATCAAAGAATTCTTTAGGATATATTTTCAAGAAATCAGACAAATACATGCAAGTATGCTGGAAGACTGTATCTTAACCTAAAGATAAGTTAAAATTCCAATCAGAGAGCTGGTAATTCCTTGAAAGCTTTCATTAAGACAAAGTCAGAATACAGAATACGTTTGGAATGGATCAAGTTTATTCACATATACCAGAGCAGTTGAGATTTTTAAGTACTCGTCTTAAAGCAGAAAGCCATTACATATTAGCAACCAATGTTTCAGTATTTTCAACTACAAATTATTAAAATTCAACTTGATCTTAAGAACTAAGGAGCTGGAAGAAGCTCTTTTTTTCTTTTCCTTCCTGGATCATGTATTAGGACTGCAGCTCTGTCCCTCATTTTCTTTAAAAGAAGACTCTAGACGCCTACCTCAGTATTAACTGAAACTCAAAATCCCTTTGAAACACATACCAGTTAGGTTTTAGGCCTTACCTCCTCTACCAGGTTTCTAAGCTGGTGAAAGAAACAAAATAGAATGTCTTAACAACAACAAAACCAAACCAAACCAAAAAAAAAAAAAAGGGGGTGGGGTGGGGTGTGCTGCAGTTACCAGACTCAGAAAAAGCAAACAACTTCAAATACAAAACTAAGCCCCCAAACATAAGTACTAAAACAGACTGGGAAAAAAAAGCATGGTTTAAACAGTTTCCCAGATGCTAAGAGCTTACTTTAATCTGGCTATTTAGCTCATCCAGTAAGATCATTACACCATCTTCCAAACTCCCAAAAGAAAACAAGAGAATCTAATACCGTCCTCCCTAGCAGTTCAGACCACACCATTTGTCCACCTGCTTGCTAAGCTAGGGAAGTTTTATTTCTCCTTTGCCCTTGTTTAACAAAATTTACGAAAACAAAAAGAAGTTCAAAATACTAATGGGATTGTGAGGAAGTTCCCATCTATGAACAGAAACTAGATGAGAGCACAATATCGACTAATACAGAAACAAAAACATAATGAGAAATGATCACTTTATTTTAACAAGTCAGGACACTTTTTTTCACCCTTAACTATCTTGCATACTGTTTGAAGTCTTCGCATAGAATCACAGAATGGTAAGGCTTGGATATCACCTAGTCCAACTCCCTGCCAAAGCAGGCTCACCTAGAGCAGGTCACACAGGATCACATCCAGGCAGGTTTTGAGTATCTCCAGAGAAGGAGACTCCACAGCCTCCCTGGGCAGCCTGTTCCAGGGCTCTGCCACCCTCAATGTAAAGTTTACAGAGCTGCTCTCAAGCAGGTCAGCCCCTAATCTGTACCAGCGCATGGAGTTATTCCTCCCCAGCTGCAGGATCCTATACTTGCCTTTGTTGAACTTCATTAGGTTTCTCTCCACCCAACTCTCCAGCCTGTCCATCATCAGCAAACTTGATGAGGGTACACTATGTGCCATCATCCAGGTCACTGATGAGTATTAAAGAATTCTTAATCTCCTATGATAGTTCATTATCAACATGAGAACCTGCATTTTCACATCTTGAAGTTAACTCAATTTGCTGCCCACGAACATGCAAATGCAAAAGGAAGGACCTCCTGGAGCTTGGGCATTCATAACAGTTTTTCCTCCTCTTTATTTTCTAGCGAGACGTGCACAGCAAATTCTTCCCCATGAAGACATGCGCAGAATTACTCCCCTCTATTAGCTATTTATTTTCGTAAAACTTGGAACCACATTTTCTTGGACAACTATTTCCTTAAGATCCTTATCTGTCACAATTGTCCACACTAGACAACAGGACATAAAAAATTTCACCAGAGACGAATACATATGGCCCACACACAGAGGACATATGAGCCTTGTTTCCACAGGAAAGCAGACAAATAAGGTGCCCATAAAATCTAGGATCTGAAGCAACTGCATAATTAAGCAGATTTTAATAAATTCAGTGTTAGTACAATAGATCTCCTTTTAAACAAGAGGTACAGAACTTAGTACAACTTACCTGGAAATCTACACAATTTTTTTACATATGAAAACAGAAAACAGCAAATATAAGCCGACAGCATCACTGGCTTAAATTAATATATTGCCAAAAAGTGACTGCATCTACAGCTTAGGATGAGAAAACAGAATACTATAATTGATAACTTGGACAAAAAAAATACGTCAGTTTTCACGATAATGTCAAGGTTTCCCAAAAGCTCTTTCCTTTAATGTTCTTTTCCAGATTGTCAAGCTATGTGAGACTCGAGACAAAAATCTAAAAAGCGATGCCTAAAAGAAATAAGAAATTCATTCTGGATCTACATTGTTTTCTGATGCTTCTGTTTCCTGGCTACAAGCCCTGCTTTAGACTCGTCTTCCACTGACAACTTTTAAGATACCTTTCCCATGCAAGTATTTTGGGGTCTACTAATGCACAAACCGCAGCCTTTCCTTCTGTAAAGGTACTTGCAGAGTCTCTCTCTTCTTTGCACATTTGATTATCTTTCTAAAAACTCTCTTGAAGACTTCTACCATTCTGAACAGCAGCTCAGAGATTTTTAAGAAGTAAAGCACACATGGTTGGTTTTCTCACTACAGATCTATGCTTTAGTAATCTCAAAGAGGAGTTCTAAGTAAAATGGGGAGTATTTCTTGATTAATTAATTCCACCAGTGCTTAGCCTCTAGGGTTTGGAGGGGTTTTTGCAGGATCTTTTTGCCCTTTTTTTTTTGTTGGTTTTGGTGGGGGGCAAGGATTGTTTGTTTTTAGTGTCTCACCTGGGTAGAAACAGTGGCCATATGAAATATTTTAACGTGCATATACCTAAGGGTCAGACACCTGATAACTAACAGAGAAACAGCCACTCATCCTACCATGACTGTTATTGCCAAAGAACTTGATCACTTGGAATTCATTTGTAAGAGTATTTTATTTTGATCAAGAGCACCCACTGAGACAATGCCTTCATACTCCATATTTTTGTATCCCTCCCTGTGAATGGGTAAAGTTTAATCACCTCTGATGATACAAGTCACATTTATCTCTATTAACCATTCAAGCAGTTGTCAATATGCCATTGGCTCTTTGTAACTATCGATCAAAGATTTGCTTAATGAACGCAGCAGTAGGTGTTCCACCTCAGTAATTAGTGTACAAAAGCCACTTCAGTAAATACTATAAATTTAAATAACCTGATGAGTAGTTCTGTCTTGCAGTGTCCTTACATGAAAATATTTAGTTCAGACTGCATGGGATGAAATAAAGCTTTCAAAAGTTACCTTTCTAAGTCAAAGTGAGATATGAGACTAACCCTGGCTCTAAGAAACACAAAAGCAACAAACACTGTTGTGAAATTCTCATCTCTAACAGCTACTAGACAAGAACCTTTACAGATCAGAGGTAAGGAAACAGGTTACTACAGTCTTAAAGGAGCAATCCTCTACCAACAACATGATGGTTATTCTTTAGCTCATATAAAGTCCTCTATGGTCTGCAACTTTGAAAATAGAACAGGCATGAAACGTCACAGTATCTGCAGAGTGATAAAGTATGATGAGATCTCAGGCTGGAAGTAATGGAAAACTGCTCTAGCTACAAAATTTGCTCTCACTCCACATTTCAAAACAAGTCAACTGAAGCATACCACTACAGAGTGCCTCAAATAAGCTACCTCTTATTGCTTTTGTAAATCAGTCTTAATATTTCTCTACTTTGATACACAGTGTTCTGGGTTTCACCATCTCCTGATAGGTATCATCAGTGCACTAGTCAAGAAGCCCTTTGGAAGGAGTCCTTAAGAAGTGATATGAGATCACACAAGCAACATTCAAAAAAAACCAACATCACAAGTCGAGGCAGGACTGATCTGCAAAAAAAAAAAAGGTTCCAATTCTCAGACACTGTGTGGAACCATGTACCAAAACAGACTCTCCACTATCAAGAGAAAAACCTCTCACTAGCATCATTGCTCGTTCCCTACCAGCTTCAGAGGGATGTATTTCTTCTGGAATTAAAAACAATTGGATCCATTTCTTATTCTGCACTCATTAAGCCTTTTGCTTGCTGCCTAGAAAGAGCCTTTGTACGTTGAGACTGAGTCATCAACTAACTATTGTTTGATGCATTTGAACACTGCTTTTGAGGTTCACAGCAGAAACAAAATTTCAGGTTATTTGAACTGGAGTCGGTTAGTTGTTGAGCTACTCTTTAACAAGCCAGTGTTCAGGACCATCCTTACCTTTTTAGTTCACAACAAAATCGCTAACCCAACTGAGAAATGTTTTATCTGTTCTGGAAAGGACCAGACTCTTTAGCGAAATCAAGATGTTCCCACCAAAATGCAATTATGAATTGAGCCAGGGATTAGGAGTTGAGCTATTTCTTGCTCTGCAACTTGTTCCTTTTCCAGCTCTCTTTCTACATACTCTTTCCAGCACTGCCACTGCTCTTCTGTGGGCAACTTCCAGCCATCCAAGCCTCTGCTAGGAAAAGAAACACTGTTTCTCAAACCATACCTGGTTAACCATGCATGCTTACTATTATTCTCGCTGTGATTCTGCAATTTCCCATCCCTGTGGGGGACATCTAAGGGCAGGACAGTGCCAAGAAACCATTTCTATTTACATAAGTTGCCAAATGACCTTAACACGAATGTCCTTGTATTTGGTCATAGGATGTCCAAACTGTACATGGAAATACGGATTCTGCAGATCACGATCTGTGAACTACTCATGAGAATCTAATGGGAGAATTATGGAGGTCACTATCTGGAAGTCTGAAAGGATGAAGTTAAGGCATTGGACTTCCTGTCACTATGGGGACAGCTGTGGTATCACTAACAATCAACTCACAAACACAAACCAGCACGCCAAACCATTACACCCTGCAAGAACAAGACATATGCAAGAACATCATGAGATTTTATTCTTAAGTATTGTCAGCCAAGCCCAAATGTGTATTTTCTCAATTCTCAAATAATCTCAAGCACCTTGTAAATA